GGAAGTACTGCTGGTGGGTAAGACAAAAGCGGATTCAGGCAATGACTTACTTAGCGGGGCGTTAACATTCAAAGACCAGGGAAACAACAATTTTAGCCAGAAAAGCGGTATGTAAGCGTCCCTAAGAAGCTGAGGTTCACATGCTGTGCTCTCCTTTCCTGTCACCTCATGCCCGCTTGGCTATCCTCGACCGTGCTTCTTTGCCTTCTTTCGTAGAAGAAAGATCACTTCGAGGAGCGGTACTGTATAAAGGTACAGGGAGTACCTAGCCCAATGCCAAATATTCACCGTGAAAAATCATAATGACAAAGCTTTAAAGAAAAAAAAAGAATAGTTTAGATTTCACAAGTAGATACCCTTGCCATAAATGCTTCCAAAAACAACAGGCTTTTACAAAAGACTAAAATATCCTGTGAACAGCAGTAAACAGCTACTCAAGTCATTCGCCAGATTCGTTCAGTCATTTGTTTCTGGTGCATCCTTTCATCTCAGGAAGGCTGACAATCATCTGATTTCTTTTTCAGCGAATGATCTGTTGCTAGCCTACTCTTAACGACAGAGAGGAAACTGATACAAGTTTTGGTTGCCTCGGCACATACACTGGTCTTTGGCTGGTCTGGCATTTCTTCCCCTTTTTCTGCCAGCTCACCAAGAGACCCCAAAGGAAAACTGCTTTCACAATTCTGGGTCGAGCAGACCTGTGAAATCACAGGCATTTGAACAGAGGAGCTGCTTTCAAAACTGTGTTCTTCAAGATCGTATTGAACAAGGGCCTCTTCCAGCTCCTGGTTTAAGGAGTGTGGTGCTGGGAAATCACTGCTCTGGAAGTAGTTTGTTAGCTCTGATGCTTCATGGTTCTGACTCCCCAGGTGCACGATTAAACTCCCACAGTTGGTGAACATGGCGCCACGTGTTTTGCACTCCTAAATCCGAGGCTTGCAGATAATGTGCCGGGAAACCCTCACGTGGTGTTCATATTCCCCGAAGGAAGTGGCAGTGGCACTGCGTATCTGGCACCGGAAACAGCATCTCCCTTCATGCTTTAGGCGATGCCTCTTTAGCGAGTGAGCCCTGGTGAACTTATTCCCACCGTGGTCACACTGAAACAGTTTAATTCCTGAGTGGATGAGCATGTGCTGTTCCAGGTTCTGAACACGGGTGAATCGCACCCCACAGGTTGGACACTGGAAAGGTCCATCTGAACCATTTGGACCCGGTCGTTCTGTGCTGCTGGTGGGAGGGGCAATGCAGAGTTGGAAGGGATGTTGAGCATATTCCAGTCAGTCATCATCCTCTGCGTGAGCATCAGTGCTGGAAGTGCTCCGACGTGTAGGTAAGCCTTCAGTGACACCTTCATCCACTAAGCCTGTAGAAGAAGACTGAGCACTGATCAGAAGGTCCTCTTGGACTTGCTCACTTCCTGGCACCATCCGCTGACCACTCAGTGAACTCTGAGAGGCGCTGACAGGCTGGGGTACCTCCTCATGGACTTCCTCATCACTTCACCTTTCTCCTTTGACCCGGACATCTTCCTCAGGACCCAGAGGCAAGGTAGTCTTGGTGCTCTCACAAGTCACATATTCCACCATTCTTCTACCTGTCCCAGATGGCCCAGGTAATTCTAAAGTCCAGGTATTTTCTGCTGGCTTAACCTTATCAGGCGGAAACCTTCGATCGATTCCATAAGGTAATGGATCTAAAGAGTCAACTGGCTGATTTCTATTTTCCGAGTAGGAAGCTGACGAATTCAATACCTGGGGAGAACTTGTTTGTGTGCCACACTTTACAGGACTTTCAGGAGACACACCAGTGCAGCTTTCACACTTTCTGCGGGATTCTTGGCAGACAGGAACGGTTCTTCCTCCCGCACTGCACTCTGAAGACACTGGAGAAATGCTTCCATCTCGAGACGTAAAACTGCAGTTGGAGTTATTTTCTTGTCCAGCATCGAGACTCTTTTCTGGTTGGCTACTGGGTGTATTCCATAAAATGCCTGATTTCATGAACTCTGAGCAGGTGCTGGCAACACCGAACATCCGCGTACAGCTGGCTGCAGCCAGGACATCCGTGGTACTCTCTGTGTTCATTGACAGAGTGGCTGTGCAAGCATACTCTAAAAGGGGTAGAAAGCCAGTCACGGAACACGATGCGGATCCAACACATTCTTGTTGTCATCCTCTGCCCACACGTCTGGTGCGAAAGAAGTCACCGCAAGCTGCTCGGACCGCCTCGCGTGCCCGGAAGAGTTTGTCCGGGTATTTGGACGCGGATGGTGACAGCACAGAAACGGCCATCGTTTCGCGGCATGTGTAGCTTTCCAAGCATTTCCTGGCTGTGGGAAGAGGAACTTTAAGTAGATGTGTTCACGCCCATCTTTTCCGTCCTCTTCTGCAGATGCTCCTCAAGGATGCAAATGAATCAGAGACGTCCTGCGGGCGGCG